ACAGCTGTCCAATGGTTGAGGCACGGTCATACGCACAGATATCCATTAATTGATATATGTTCATACACACATATACCTATAAGGCGAGGCATGTCCATGCGCACAGATGTCCACATTTGTTTCTTAACTCTGCAATATTGCAGCTATATGACGGCCGGATGTAAATTATCGAATCTGATAATCCAGTGATTGATGTCATGAGCATTGATCCACGCAATAGGGATACGATGACGTGCATCAACCAACCACCCGATCCCGTTAGTCGGCTCTTAGGACAAGCATGGCTTGCTGAAGACCTATTCTAGCCCGAGCCTTCATGGGTCTTCACATTTGAAACATTGTCATACACACAGGTGTTCAGTAAACGAGGCATGGTCATACACACAGATGCCCTCATTTGAGACATGGCCATACACACAGATGCCCTCATTTGAGACATGGTCACACATACAGATGTCCACATTTGAGACATGGTCATACACACAAATGCCCACGTCTGGGACATGGTCATACACACAGATGCCCTCATTTGAGACATGTTCACACACACAGATGTCCACATTTGAGACATGGTCATACACACATATGCCAACGTCTGAGACATGGCCATACACACAGGTGTTCACATTTGAGACATGGTCAAACACACAGATGCTCACATTTGAGATATGGTCATACACACAGATGTCCACATTTAAGGCATGGCCATACACACAGACATCCACATTTGGGGATACGTCATACACACGCTTTTCCACAAAGTGAGGCATGGCCTCAGACTCAGATGTCCCATAAATTAAGGCATTAACATACGCAGAGATGGCCCACATGTTTATGTTCGACCAGTCGGAGAGAATACACATCGGTGGTTAATGTGTTCCGTGGAACCTAATGGAACACAACTGTCAACTGCCCGTATTTAAAAATAAAGTCATCATGGTCCAAACATTTGCCATCAAAAGAAAATATGTGACGTAGTTCTTCAATAATTGAAAATGTCTTTTGAATCCAATAGTTCAGTGTGATGGGAATGATGGTGTCTGTCTTGGAATCTTTGTCCTGCTTCTTACAATCCAATACTCTACGGCGGTCGACATCGGAAGTCAAATATTTTCTTAACAAGGAAGTACTCCCTATCGCAACATTGACCCGAGCTCTATGTTTAATGAACTGTTTTCAAAAGGACATATAGGCTTATTGTCAAAGCAACTATTCCTGGTATCTCCCCTAGATACTGATATCATTTGAAACAGTTGGAAGCCAAGGTTGTCGAAGTATTCATTTCGACAACAAACCGTGTCCACATTACCGACATTGATCTCTAACTTTAATAACAGATTCCACTCTTCTCAATCACGCTCTCATCAGATAGTCACGAAAGTAAAACAATCTTTCTGATACTACTAGGCGATTGACAGGGGTAGTATTTGCAGTGTTTACATCGCGATCCGACTCCGATTTGTGTCTTTTGAATTCTTCTATTCCAGTTTGAAGAACACGCTAAAAGAAGTTTATACTAAGAGGATTGGCCATCTCCCTGGTGTAGTGGTAGAGCGTCCGCCTGGAGAGCGGAAGGTCCGGGTTCGATTCCCGCCGACGTCAAAAGATGGTACTTGTTTTTACCCTACCTGGCGCTCGGCATTAAGGGGCTTAAAAACAAGGACTGGTCGGCTCGGGGTCAGTGTGCTCTGAGTGGGGTGTTCATGTTTAAACGGCGGCAAAGTATCTCAGTTGGCTAGCACAATAATATGTACATTAGTCCGGATTCGTACAACCACACACGTCATAATATATAAGTGCAATAAAATTGGACGCGACGTTAAACCCAAATTCACCTCCCCTAATAGGACGATACAAGCTCATGCCTTTAAAATTATAACTATCACGAGACTCTCAGCAGCATTGATAGCCTCAATATATGCCAGTCACCATAGTAATCATAATTTAGTTAATAATCAATTGCTAACGTATAGATCGAATCTTCGAATTAACTATCTGAATCTGAAAATGTGAACATCCCCGAATCGCTCCGGTTATGATCCTTGGTTTATCAAGCACAATATCCGTGTGCTTTGAAAGTCTCATGAAGGGCTAAAATGTCTACCAGCTGTATCAGTGTTGGCTTTCTACTGCTACACGTTGACATATACATGTACAGTCAGACGCAGCTCACTCACTTACATCACAGCCAAGTGGTCCTGTTGATAGAGCGTTCCCCGGGGAGACAAAAGTTGGTTGATCGATCTGGCTGCGTCTTGCTAAAGACGGTAAACGATGGTGCTTGCTGTTTCTTGCTCGTAATTCTGGTCTTTCGTCTTTTGAAAACCTTCCACTCACATTACGGCTGGCGAATAACAATGCGAACCTTTTCGCGGACAAGTAACAAGAAACGAAAAAAAAGCTCCCAAAATATGTGTTTTAAGTACATTTAACGAACGCATTATGAATGTCAACAACGAAGACAAAGCATTGTAAAGATATTGGAAACATATTGCAATATATTGCCATTTTGAAACAAATCGATAGTTCCCATTTGAGTGAGTTACTCTTTGTTTCAAAGAGCAACAGATGCACCAAGGCACATCTCCCCTCTGTAAACAAATCACATCACTTCTACCCATACCCTGCCGCTCCTGAACGTGATGGTACCATTATCTCCCCGACATCGTCCATTGTAACGTGTCCTCATATCGCTGGGTCAGTGTAATTAGTATTGTTTGATGTTATCCCGTCTTTAATCTTTGCACTATTATCAGCCTTTCATTTTATTTTGTACTGAAATAATGTAAAATAAAACAGTCGATGACCAGATAATGTAATAATGGTTTCAAATTTGTGTCAATATTTACAATTTTATAGTTTCCATTTCTCTTTAACGCTTGTTGAGATTACAGTGAGATCAGCGTATCAATTGTTATACAGCATCAACGGTCTCTTTCATGTTAAATTATCTTTAATACCGGTGTTTGTGAATGTCCTGAAATGAAGCAGATGTGCTGAGAGGGAGAAGGTAAACATCAGCTGGACCATATTGTGTAGTGCAGAAGGAAAGAAATGGGTTAGGTAATATCTTTTGCATCATATTAAACTGCATAGCCAAAGCTATCGGAAAAGATTCAGTGAGTGAGTGAGTGAGTGAGTGAGTATGGTTTTACGCCGCTTTTAGCAATATTCCAGCAATATCACGGCGGGGGACACCAGAAATGGGCTTCACACAATGTACCCGTGTCGGGAATCGAACCCGGGTCTTCGGCGTGACGAGCGAACGCTTTAACCACTAGGCTACCCGACCGCCCGGAAAAGATTCAGAGTGAGTAGATGAGTGAGTGAGGTTGGTTAAACGCCGCTTGTAACCCTCGAGGTTACTGGCTATACCTTGACTCGCGATTTAAATGACGTTGTGGAAATTTCGAGTAAATGAGTGAATGTTTCCGGCTACTACTCTATCGCGGCCTTTATGGACACAGACCTCGTGATTTTCACCAAAGAAGTGACCTGAGATCAGACTCACTTGGGAAGTTCCTCCAACATCAAGCTGACACGCAGTGATATAATTGAAAACAAATGGCATCAGGGCTGTGTTGAACTGAACTCGACTTATCACTCCTTAAAACTATCAGGGCTAGGCAACACACAAAATAAGCGTGATGCGCTGTGATATAACTTTTTAAACACGCAAGAAACTTGAATTATTAGCTCCAATTCTCCATGTCACTTGACCTGCCGGATCACCAATGAGCTCTCATCTGCAGTCCAATAGACCTAAGTATTGGGTTCCTCTATAAATCTTTACACAATAATTACCACTGTTCCTATTAACGCAAAACACACAATTCTGAAACTACATTAAAACCACCCAGCGTATCATAGCCTAACAAAGACCGGCAAATTAGACGTACTGTAAATAGAATGCAGACATGGATATATACTAGACTCCACTCTCTAACTTCCTGCAGAGTTCTCACAGATTTAGACTATTGCGTAATAAAACGCCCCCTTGTGTCAGCAGGCAACATTATATGACCTTTCCTTCCATGTATTTCATGCAGATTGTGTGCCCGTCGCACGACATCGCACTTAAAGCCCTCTTGAATCGGCGCCCGTGTTGCATATATGGGCACCGGTCTGCGCGTGATGGCCTACCCTCTCACAGGCGGACATTATCCCTTGCCGAAATCCGAATCGACTTCAATGGGTCCACGTGCCTTTAACACGTCGCTTGTATTTTCACCAGAATAAATCAGAGAACTGGTTAGAATTGATGTCTTTTTTCAGGCCTGGTCATCAATACGTCCTCAAATAAATCTTCTATAAACCATTTTCACAAATATTCCCAGCGGCCATTGGTGAGAAGCATAGTTTAAGACCTTGCCTTTGTTTGTTTACAAAGAAATATGTTCTTTGAAAATAATGTGTCAATGTTTAAAGTGCAAAACTTGTTCAAATATTCCCAGCGGCCATTGGTGAGAAGCATAGTTTAAGACCTTGCCTTTGTTTACAAAGAAATATGTTCTTGGAAAATAATGTGTCAATGTTTAAAGTGCAAAACTTGTTCAGTGTAACAGCATTATCATAATGCACCATACCGTCATTTAAATATTTTTTTCTAATTCAAACATATCTGTTCTGTTCTGTTCGAGTTAGATGGCACACAATTAATAAATGTATGATTGAGTTGAGTTGGTCATGCCAGTTCTTCAGTTATATGAAGGGCAGTCTCCATTTGTTGATTGAGCTTCCGTGAGTAAATTCCATTATGCACGAAGCGAATACAATATTAATGTATTAGGAAAGTCCGAAATGGCGAAGGTCAAAGGTCAGGAGCAAACCAAAGACCAGCGGTTCCTGGCGCCTGACAATGGTTTACTACCGCTTTGAACAACACCATGACCCGTCAAATTGCAACTGGCAATGGTTAGCTGCTGCCTTCAACAACAACACATCGTGTCAACTGGCATCTGACCATGGTTAACCGCTGCCTTCAACAACGTCATGGCCCGTCAAATGGCAGTTGACAATGGTTTACTGCTGCCTGGAACAGCAACACAACGTGTCTACTGGCAGCTAACAATTGTTGACCGCTGCCTTCAACAACGTCATGGCCTGTCAAATGGTTGTCGACAATGGTTAACCGTGCCTTCAACAACGTCATGGCCCGTCAAATGGTAGTCGACAATGGTTAACCGTGCCTTCAACGTCATGGTCCGTCAAATGGCAGTCGACAATGGTTAACCGCTGCCTGAAAAAAACATCATGGCCCGTCAAATGGCAGTTGACAATGGTTAACCGTGCCTTCAACAACGTCATGGCCCGTCAAATGGTAGTCGACAATGGTTAACCGCTGCCTGAAACGTCATGGTCCGTCAAATGGCAGTCGACAATGGTTAACCGCTGCCTTCAACAACGTCATTGCCCGTCAAATGGTAGTCGACAATGGTTAACCGTGCCTTCAACAACGTCATGGCCCGTCAAATGGTAGTCGACAATGGTTAACCGTGCCTTCAACAATGTCATGGCCCGTCAAATGGTAGTTGACAATGGTTTATCGCTGCCTGGAACAACAGCACAACGTGTTAACTGGCAGCTATCAATGATTCACTGCTGAAAAATAAACACATTGTAATGTAATGCTCTCAAAACTTCCAATGTTTATTTAATTGCTGAAAGATACTTACTTAAATTCTTAAGCCGTTCACCTCAAAGGATAATGACTCTAATTAGTTGAATTCGATATCCTATTTGTATAATCTGACCTTTTTGATTGAACGTGACACACGTAAAATGTAAAACCTCACTTAGTTAACTTATGTTTCATGATTCTTTTTTTAACATGATTTCGACTTACACCAGAAACGAACATGTCCTTTGATTGCTTCAGGGAAATTCGAATGCTTTGGCTTTTACGAACGTAAATAATAAATGGGGAAAAAACTGTATATGATGAACATTGTAAATGCAGTAACATATGCACACACACACACACACACACACACACACGCACACGCACACACACACACACACTAAAACGTTTGGTTTTTTATTGAAAAAAGGCATTTGTGATTGGGAGACAAATGGATGTACAGACGGGCGGAATATGTTATATTTCCCTCCCTCTCCGTTCTGAATGTTGATTATATCGTTGTTGTTTTTAATAAATACAATGTATAAACAGTATGTAATGGGATACAGTGTTGTTTCTCTTAACACAATAATTATAACGGCGAGAACGTCAAGAAAAAACTTGTTGATTCCCACAAGTAAAAAATTGAGTTTTCCTTCTGAAATCAATATTTTTCATTTAAAGTTTATTTCCAAAGCTGCTAAAACTTCTGGATGTTTCTTTTGTGAATCGTAACCATGTTTTCTTGTTAAGACCATCAGCGACAATGCTGCTGCGATAAGACGGTTTGGAAATGATTGAACATGAATCAGGCCTGTGTACCTGAACAAACAGGTCTATATAAGATGATGTGATTGCCCATTACGGAGCGGAACTCGGGCACTGTGCACACACCGGAGCGATCAAGACCACCGTGCTCTCACGTCCATTCTCTTCAAAGGTTGCCATCTTTGTTGTACGTGACGATGCTATTGTCTTTACGACAACCCTTGTATGTAACCTGTTCTCGAGTGACCGAGACAGTGTCATTAGAAGCTCTCAATGGTCGGCCAACGTTAATTATTCCAAAGTCATAAGTGTTTGAATTTTTGTTTGTAAAACCTGAAGAACAGTTAAAGACAACACTTGAGGACAGGGTCGATCTAAATGGACATTTTAGATCTGTGTTCAACTTGCATGGGTTTTGTTGACATTTCTCTCAAACCGTTCGAGGAAGTTTACAGATTATGATTGTTTTGTTACATGAAAGTTTGCAGAAAATGAAAAACTATAGTTTTGCAACCATCAAAAGTCTCCGATATTTGTTCATATATCATATCGATCATTAATATGTTTGCTTTAGGTTGGATTGCCAAAATATTTTTGAAGAGAATTTCGTGCTTTGATGATATATTAATGCAGAGCGAATTGATCTTCTGTTATGAACTTTGTCAAAAGGGGTCCAGCAATGCAAACATAAGTTCATTAAAACTTATACCTGGAATATTCTTTTTAATATTTTGAAACAATAGAACAAAATGTTAAGAGAATTTTGCATTTGAATTGGTGTCGATGTCTTATTGTCTTTCAAGGTATACACACACGTGTCTCTCATGTAAACATCAGTAAACATCTGTGCTCATTGGCTGTACAATTTTTGATCGATTAAGATGTATTTAGCGGTTGCGACCGTTGCCAGATCGTGTTGTGTAATGTGATAGTCACATGAACAAATGAAACTAGTCAATCCAGTTGTCTGAGATGACATAGTGAGCAGGGTGGGTCCGTCAACAACAGTAGCTTTAACATTCCCCCTAAGCACATTACTACTGTAGAGGGTATCCTTTTCCCGTGAAGAGTATTGGACACATGTAGAACCATACCAGCAATAACGACATCCTTTTCCCACAAACATGTTCCAGTGATGTTACAAGGGAGTGGTACAGTGACTATGACATCATCAAGCTCCTCACAGCGATAGCCCGTTCGAGGAGCTCTCTAAACTATCGCTGCCACCAGTCAAAACTCCCCATTGTGATGGTCGGCAACAACCATGCTTTGAGCTGAACTCGCAGCCCACTGACACTTATGTTTACAAACAAGAAGTGATGACTATCGTGACGCCGAATACTCTTACCCATGCTAAATTGTTTTCTTTGTTTGTCAGATTGAATTTCGGTTTCATTACAACTATCATGTAATTGGTATAGTAAGAATGTAAGGGAGAAGTTGGTTGTTTTACCGTTCGTCTGTAATCTCAAACTAATCCGATCAAAAAAAATAAAATGTTAAGCCTTTTTTTAAAAACTAGTGAGTGAGTGAGGGTTGGGTTTAACGCCGCTTTTAACAGTATTCCGGTTATATCGCGTAGTGTCAGCTTAACGTGGGAGGAAAGCCCGAAGTGATGTAGGTCTCAGAACCTACTTGCATGGGTTTCTGGCGTGCCCAAGGGACGCAATTCTGCACAGCGAATCGCAGCCCCTTAGATGACTGGGCCACCCGTGCCCCTTTTTAAAAAAATAACTGTATTGGCATTCACATAGACATAAAGAAAAGTATAAAAATTACTACATTGGTGGCAGCGATGTTACCGAGAGTCTAACGAAGGCGTCACGCGCTGGGAAGGAGCTTGTGACATCATACAATAACGTCACAATAGCATATTTCCGCATGATATGGAATTGAGGTTGAGAGCAGTCTACTACATGCTAGTGGCCACGTTTGTATTTGTTACCTATAAGTGATAGCAATACCTAATTAAAGATTCTTCTTAAAGTTAGCAAGTTGCAGTCCTATGTAATCTTATTCAAGTCATTCAGATGTCACTTTCTTTGTCTGGTGACTCAAATTTAATGATTTATATCAATACATTTAACGATAACCCTAATTAAAAGGAGACAGTGTCTCAATTTAACACAAGGCACTAATTGCAATGTCTAGACGTCTAGACTGTGTTGCAGTCTCCCTTAAAGTCAACCACATACAGCGCCAACGACTTAATTAGATACGTACTTCAAGGAAATAACAGATTAACACCACGCAAATCCTGTTATCACCGGTTTAACTTCCAAAAAGGGGGCACTGTATGCCCAATCATCCGGGGCGCCGCAGTTGCAGTGCATCCATCGTAATTGAATGCCATAACCGTGGATTCGAATTCAAGACAGGGAGATGGCGAACATCATACCCGCGCTTTTGTTTTTTTTCTAAAGGTGACACGAAGTGAAATTAGTGACACGATACTGTAAAGACATTTGATTTTTTTTTCTTAAACAACAACCCTTGATAAAGTTATTCTTACGTTTGATCGTGGCCTGATTGTGAATGCCACTGATCTTCATTGTTGTTACAACAATCTTCATATGTTTCATTAATAAACCAAAGGCCACAAAGCCTTTCCCATAATCATACGGAACCTCTGGTAAAAGAGAATTGTACTGTACAGTCTATTGGTCAAAACGTTATGAAATAAAACAGCGTCATAATGTCACATGACAGAAATCAAACATTATACTTGAACTTTTTATAAAGTGTTCGCGCATTGCGTTGCACAATACCATTTTGTGTTACTTTGGAACAGGAAATCCCCGATCTTGAAGAATTATATTCGTTGTCATCAGCAATATTCCAGCTACACGTGAGTTCTATATCACAGATCTCGTAGACACCCAAGGAGGTACAGAGAGATCCACGCTCAAAACTTTAAACCATGTGGTAATAACAGCTTAGACTTTAACAGGTGTGTAAAGCGGGGCGGTGATAAAAGGATGGGGTGGAGTTTCACACAGGTGAAAAGTCAATATATTTGGAAACTTAATTAACTCAACTACAATTTTGAAGTAAATGTTTTAACTATTACTTCAAATAGAATAATTTTTTAACACGGTATAAGCCTAGATATTGCTAGCCGAGAGTGTTTCCGTTTTGCAATTGCCATAAACATATAATGAAAATGTATAATGCCTGTCTTATGATATTTACGATACGCAAAACACAACGAGGTTAAAACGAGGTACGTTTTAGACGTACTTTTACTCATTGAATATCTTTAGAATCCGCGCATGACTTCAATACTGGAGTTACCTACCTTTCCAACTGACTGACTAAACTGTCAGGCAAAGGTTACTCGGCTGAAAACTGTCGCCGAAACACTGTGCAATTACAAAGGCAACAACCAATCCCGGGGAATTGCTTTAGATCAGTGCCCCTTTATGGTCCAAAACACACCCTTGATACCCGCTTCAAAAACTTCATCATCGAATAACTATTTTCGTTTGTATCATTTTTGCCGCCACCATACATGGGTGTCTACTTTCGTTTGCCAGGCAGTTTATGTTTATTTATAGAAACACACACATAAAAACACCCCTATCTATACCGCTGGTGACCGTTAGACAAGGGTTGCAACAGTGAGAGAGAGTCTACGCGTACCCTCCTACGACAGTTGGTATCCTGCCGAGATCCGAAATCCGCAGATGCCATTAGTCCATCAGCTTTCCGTGTCCCACTTTTACAGAGATCCTTCACCAGCTTCACCAGTAACTGTAACGATGGTAATTACACCATAACTGACCACTCGTCATCCGTGCCAGGCAGCGTGATTGACAGAATCACTGATGCTGATGTCAGTACAGCGATAACGACGTGATGAAAAGGCACATAATCACTGTTCAAGATTGAAATGTCTCTCACCACTGCAGCAAAACTGTTTATTAAACCATCATTTAATTATAGATTTTCTATATTAGGATAAACCGTTCTGACGTTACAGCCATTAAGGCTCAAATTAGATTATGATACTGTCAATTTAGTACACAATGAACTGTAACACTGGACAAAAGGTTTCATTCCAAAAGTTTTATACCTGTCCAATCCAATTACGACGTTTTCGTATCTTTCAAATTTAGTTATATCAAACACCAAATTCTAGACATGAATATAACACACTCCAACACATTGCAACACGATTCAACACAATACAACACGATACAACACGATACAACACAATGCAACATATGCAACACGTTAAGGATAAAACACAACTCTGAGGATTTGGTCGGAAATATAAAACCGCGAGCGAGGGAAATGCCCGACTTTGTAAATATTCTTGAAATCAACTAGACCGCTCTTGGAAGCGAAGAAATACACGCTGGTCAAGCAATTAAAAATGGTTCTTTGCGAAACGAACAATCTCGATTGACGAGTTGAATGAGAAATATACAATTTATAACGAAACATGTTCAAGTAAATAACAAACAACAAGAAGCGATAGTAACTCCATAAATGACCATCTGTCATAATTTTGCCTTGTCAATGTGGAACTAACGTAAAAAGGACGTCAACAGTTTGTGTACGAGCTTAACACTTACGACAAAGGGAGATAATTTGAGGGGAGGTAGCTCTTGTATGACAATAGTTCCGGCAAAGTGTTATGTTCAATGCAGTGAAATATCAAGCGCTATGTTCACTGCAGTGAAATATCAAGTGTTATGTTCACTGCAGTGAAATATCAAGTGTTATGTTCACTGCAATGACAATTATAGGAAAGTCACGTCTACGCCCTCGTTGTGAACTTGTTTGCATTAGTGTGTTATGTGTCCGTATGTGAAGGCACCAGGTTTACAGTAATAATCACGGGCTGTAGTTGGAGGCAATGGTTGAAGGTTTGCCTGCTTCCTGTCCACGGCATTGATTACGACTGCTTGGACACCCATCACGTTTGTAGAACAATTCAACACAATTCAACACAAACACATTCTGGCGATTACAGTGGTCAGGGTCGTGAGACTTGACTCTTTCTGTAGCAAACGTGAAAACGGGGATCGTCTTGTTATGTCCCGGCTGTCCACCGGGGCGTTTAATAATGCAGTTGTCTAACGAGGCGAGAACTCTTCAGGAAGTGGATCAATGGAGGCGAGAATTTCCATTGTCTCAGGTCAAATATGCCGCTTTGTTTGGGTTTCGATTTTGATAATATTTCATTATACTATTTGCTCACTTTTTGTGATCTTTCTTAGAATCACGTCGGAGTCATTTACCCGTTTGGATGCCGGGGCTAGCATACGTTCGAAGCATCCTGTGATGCGGAGGTCACTTCACGTCTCTTGACAGTTATGAACGAGAACATCTTGTTAAAATATGGACAATATAAAACGAATTAGTCTTCTTACAAATTGTATCTTTTATGTTAGATGGCTATCACGAGTTCCACTCGCCCCTTACCGTCACCTGCACGACGACGCATGCCGATATCGATAAATGCAATGTGCGAAAATACAACAAGCCAATCAGGATGCGCGTATGATTTCAAGTACTTCGGTCAAAGAATCCCTCAGGAAATGTTTTTGAGTTGACACATGTCTTGCATCTTAAACTTTACCCTAGATACAGATACATCTGTTCAATCATACTGTATAAATAACGCAATTCCCGATGTGTTTTAAATACCATCTCGGTAATATGTGACATGGGAAAATATACGTAAAGCATGACGTCACAATTTGACAATTTTTTTAAGTGTGCCCGTTTGCACTTAGACGGGACCCAGTCGCACAAATGGCCACGACAGGGGTACGAGCGGCTATTCGGCTTGTCCCGGAATAACACGAGTTTGTCACGAATTGTTGTAGTTACCATATCGTGACACTCGGACAGACGTACTAACATTGTTGTAAAGCGTTAAATGTATATGAAACAGTTGCAGTACTGATGTGTTTCAATTTTCGTTGTGTTTCAGTCCTACAATTGTGTGATTGACTGTTCGTGTGACGTTGAAGCGCGACACGTATACACTGTTTTTTTCCGGTCAGGTTAACATTGCCGGTACTATTGAATTCTCATTATTCAAAAAAACTCTTTGATTGTTTTCATTTTAGAACACTATAGTGTAACAAGACGATCCCCGTTTGCACGTTTGCTACAGAAAGAGTCAAGTCTCACGACCCTGACCACTGTGATCGCCAGCATGTGTTTGTGATGAATTGTGTTGAATTGTTCTACAAACGTGATGGGTGTCCAAGCAGTCGTAGTCCATGCCGTGGACAGGAAGCAGGCAAACCTTCAACCATTGCCTCCAACTACAGACCGTCATTATTACTGTAAACCTGATGCCTTCACATACGGACACATAACACACTAATGCAAACAAGTTCACAACGAGGGCGTAGACGTGACTTTCCTATAATTGTGCGTTGTTACCAGGAATAAATCATGAGACTTTGAGATGAGCATATTTTATAAAAGTGTTGGAGATTTTGTGATTGATTCGTTTATCAGTTCAATAAAGGAACAACAAGATAATATTCTTTTTTGTTGTTTTTTTGTTTTTGGTAGACCGCCTCTGTGGTTTAGTGGTAGAGCGTCCGGGGTTCGATCCCCGGCCGCGTCTTACCAAAAGACGTTAAAAGATAGTACTTGTTACCCTGCCTGACGATCGGCATTAAGGGGCTAAAACAACGACTGGTCGGCTCGGAGTCAGTATACTGTGTCTGAGTGGGGTATTCATGTTACACTGCGGCATGGTATATCCGTAGGCTTGTTATATCTATCGGCATGAGTCCGGACTAGTACAAGCAGCCACACACTCACGTGCATGCATATCGCTATATAAGTGCAGTAATCTTGGACGCGATGTTAAACCCTATTTCACTTCTCTTTACTTAAAAAAGGGTTATACATTTCAATCTCTGAAAGGAAGAGTCCATCAATGTTTTTGTGTCCACAACACTTCTTAAAGAAAATCCAGCATTATTGTTTGAAGCATAAACCGGGAACAGGTCGGTCTTAGGACTCTTCCTCAATATACCAGCCAAACCAATGGCGATACAACCAATTGAGAGGCTTCACACACTGTACCATGTATTCGTGGATTCAAGAACGCTTGAAACACAACGACCACAAGAGTTAAAAGTGAGAAAAGCGGATTTACCGTGGTAACGTGATTAATGTTATTTTGACATTTTTCGTTAACAGTTCACATAAACACGGAAAGGACTGAAATTCGAACAAATACCTCCACATTCATCTGTGTGAATCCACGATCAAACATACATTGACGATTTTATAGATAGAAAAATTTATACAGGGGCAAAAGTCAAAAATATTAAAGTTTTCTAAAAAGAACATCTTAGTCTGTGACAACTCTTGCTCGTCGCCTTGAAATCCGAAATCCTCTACTGAAAAGTTGCAAAGCTGTGTTCAACAACCCACGCAGGCAGAAGCCTATCAGATGCTGGCTTACAACGCCTGATCTTGTAGAGATCTCTAACTATACGTTACCCATAGCGACCGTAATCAGGACTGAGATCACAACATCCCCAGCAGCCATGATGACGGATATTGATGACAGCACAGTGACAATTACGTGTCATGCACGTGCTGCACATACACATCAGTATAGTGCGTTTAAAATCGAATTGTCTTTCACGAGTGCAGCTGGAGTGGTAAACGAGCCGCTATTTGAGGATACAAATACCCATCTGACTGCATCGTTAAAACAGGGGCTCGATAATCTATTTGGAAATATACTCTTCTGAATGACTAATCATGACGGGCCATTCAGTTTAAATAAAGTATACTTTGTAATGTTAATACTTAGGTGATGGGTGGGGATCTGATATGCATATGTTTACGGTGATTTTAGATGAATATGTTGCAGTTGGCAACTGACAGACAAATAACTCTTTTTTCAAAGAATGCGATGCGTTTGAATTCATTATGCTGTTGCCAACACAATTGTCCTGAAACTGGTAACTTTTGAAAATGACTCTGCTATTGGCTTAACAGATGACGTTCATTTCGCTTTACTTTGGAAATATCCCAATCGTTGTTCTTGTATATAAGAAGGAAATCGGTATAAGATGTAGTGAGGGAAGTGGTCGTAGATATTGTGGTAGTGGTGGTCGTACATGTAGTGGTTATGGTCGTATCTGTAGAGGTGGTGAAGGTCGTACATATAGTGGTTATGGTCGTATCTGTAGAGGTGGTGATGGTCGTACATGTGGTGGTTATGGTCGTAGCTGTAGAGGTGGAGAAGGTCGTACATGTGGTGGTTATGGTCGTATCTGTAGAGGTAGTGAAGGTCGATTATGTAGTGGTTATGGTCGTATCTGTAGAGGTGGTGAAGGTCGTACATGTAGTAGTTGGTCGAATCTGTAGAGGTGGTGAAGGTCGTACATGTAGTGGGTATGGACGTATCTGTAGAGGTAGTGAAGGTCGTACATGTGGTGGTTGGTCGAATCTGTAGAGGTGGTGAAGGTCGTACATGTAGTGGGTATGGTCGTATCTGTAGAGGTGATGAAGGTCGTACATGTAGTGGTTATGGTCGTATCTGTAGAGGTGATGAAGGTCGTACATGTGGTGGTTATGGTCGTATCTGCAGAGGTGGTGAAGGTCGTACATGTGGTGGTTATGGTCGTATCTGTGGAGGTGGTGAAGGTCGTACATGTGGTGGTTATGGTCGTATCTGTAGAGGTGGTGAAGGTCGTACATGTGGTGGTTATGGTCGTATCTGTAGAGGTGGTGAAGGTCGTACATGTGGTGGTTATGGTCGTATCTGCAGAGGTGGTGAAGGTCGTACATGTGGTGGTTATGGTCGTATCTGTAGAGGTGGTGATGGTCGTACATGTGGTGGTTATGGTCGCATCTGTAGAGGTGGTGATGGTCGTACATGTGGTGGTTATGGTCGCATCTGTAGAGGTGGTGATGGTCGTACATGTGGTGGTTATGGTCGCATCTGTAGAGGTGGTGATGGTCGTACATGTGGTGGTTATGGTCGCATCTGTAGAGGTGGTGATGGTCGTACATGTGGTGGTTATGGTCGCATCTGTAGAGGTGGTGATGGTCGTACGTGTGGTGGTTATGGTCGCATCTGTAGAGGTGGTGATGGTCGTACATGTGGTGGTTATGGTCGTACTGTAGTGGTGGTGATGGTCGTACATGTAGTGGTTATGGTCGTATCTGTAGAGGTGTTGATGATCGTACATGTGGTAGTTGGTCGAATCTGTAGAGGTGGTGAAGGTCGTACATGTAGTGGGTATGGTCGTATCTGTAGAGGTGGTGAAGGTCGTACATGTGGTGGTTGGTCGAATCTGTAGAGGTAGTGAAGGTCGTACATGTGGTGGTTATTGTCGTATCTGTAGAGGTGGTGAAGGTCGTACATGTGGTGGTTATGGTCGTATATGAAGAGGTGGTGAAGGTCGTACATGTGGTGGTTATTGTCGTATCTGTAGAGGTTGTGAAGGTCGTACATGTAGTGGTTATGGTCGTATCTGTAGAGGTGGTGAAGGTCGTACATGTGGTGGTTATTGTCGTATCTGTAGAGGTAGTGATGGTCGTACATGTGGTGGTTATGGTCGTATCTGTAGAGGTGGTGAAGGTCGTATATGTAGTGGTTATGGTCGTATCAGTAGAGGTGGTGAAGGTCGTACATGTAGTGGTTATGGTCGTATCTGTAGAGGTGGTGAAGGTCGTACATGTGGTGGTTATGGTTGCATCTGTAGAGGTGGTGATGGTCGTACATGTGGTGGTTATGGTCGTATCTGTAGAGGTGGTGAAGGTCGTATATGTAGTGGTTATGGTCGTACATGTGGTGGTTATGGTCGTATCTGTGGAGGTGGTGATGGTCGTACATGTGGTGGTTATGGTCGTATCTCTAGAGGTTGTGAATGTCGTATATGTAGTGGTTATGGTCGTACATGTGGTGGTTATAGTCGTATCTGTGGAGGTGGTGATGGTCGTACATGTGGTGGTTATGGTCGTATCTCTAGAGGTGGTGAAGGTCGTACATGTGGTGGCTATTGTCGTATCTGTGGAGGTGGTGAAGGTCGTCCATGTACTTGTGGTGATGTGCGGATATCTACTGGACGTGATGGTGGTACGCGTCGTGATAATGGTAGTCGTACACGTAGTGGTGGAAGATGTAGTTGGAGTAGAGGCAGTGCAGCAGACATTGTGATTATCGTAACATTTGTAATGAAAGCATCAATTTTATGACAGTAATCGCGGTGTGTGTCAAATGCCATTAGTCGATATGGAGATATGTGACCATGACCAATTTGCAGCGTTAGATGTACGTAGATGCGTGATATAGAACATCCAACCGTTCCAGTAAACTGTTTTGACAGTAAGATAACGGCATGCATGTGAAATGAGTGTACTTGCCTTCGTGCACTCACAGTACACACGTCACAGTTACTGCAGGGTCTGTGATACAGTCTTTCGCAATTTAATCTATCGAACCAAGGCAGGGATGCTAGCACACAGAGGATTTCGTCACATGCTTACAAATGTCAAACGCATTGTCTACACCATATACTTTAGAAGTGTACACAATTTGTTAATAATAGAAAAGAAAAGTAATAGGAAAAAGGGAAATCCGTTATAAGGAGGTATATTTCCATGAACTTTATCACACGGACTCTCTTTGGGCCATCCTTTTTTTCATTAACATTAAATGCCATTTTTGAAATAATTTGTGTTGCATTTTAAAAATAATTTCACCTATCCTGATAGATAGAATCACTTCTATTCGTTCAAGTTTCAAGTACATTCACACACTCATAGTATTACAATTTGCGAAACACTACACAACACTATTTGATGCGGTTGGGTTATTTCTACCATATGGAAGTAAATACGGTGTCATATATCCCTAACACCTGGACACAGAACATGGATACAGACACTGGACATAGACACTGCACACAGACACTGGACATCGACACTGGATGTAGATACCTGACACACGCACTGACACAGACCCTGGGCACAGACACTGGACATCGACACTGCACACAGACACTGAGCACCTGACACTGGATGTAGATACCTGACACACGCACTGACGCAGACACTGGACACAGACACTGCACACAGACACTGGATGTAGATACCTGACACACGCACTGACGCAGACACTGGACACAGACACTGCACACAGACACTGGATGTAGATACCTGACACACGCACAGACACAGACCCTGGGCACAGACACTGGACATCGACACTACATGTAGATACCTGACACATGCACTGACGCAGATCCTGGGCACAGACACTGCACACAGACACTGGATGTAGATACCTGACACACGCACTGACACAGATCCTGGGCACAGACACTGCACACAGACACTACATGTAGATACCTGACACACGCACTGACACAGACCCTGGGCACAGACACTGGACATCGACACTACATGTAGATACCTGACACATGCACTGACGCAGATCCTGGGCACAGACACTGCACACAGACACTGGATGTAGATACCTGACACATGCACTGACACAGACCCTGGGCACAGACACTGGACATCGACACTACATGTAGATACCTGACACATGCACTGACGCAGATCCTGGGCACAGACACTGCACACAGACACTGGATGTAGATACCTGACACATGCACTGACACAGACCCGGGGCACAGACACTGCACACAGACACTGGATGTAGATACCTGACACATGCACTGACACAGACCCTGGGCACAGACACTGGACATCGACACCACATGTAGATACCTGACACATGCACTGACGCAGATCCTGGGCACAGACACTGCACACAGACACTGGATGTAGATACCTGACACATGCACTGACGCAGACACTGGGCACAGACACTGGACACAGACACTGGATGTAGATACCTGACACATGCACTGACGCAGATCCTGGGCACAAACACTGCACACAGACACTGGATGTAGATACCTGACACACGCACTGACGCAGACCCTGGGCACAGACACTGGACATCGACACTACATGTAGATACCTGACACATGCACTGACGCAGATCCTGGGCACAGACACTGCACACAGACACTGGATGTAGATACCTGACACATGCACTGACGCAGACACTGGGCACAGACACTGGACATCGACACTGGATGTAGATACCTGACACATGCACTGACACAGACCCTGGGCACAGACACTGCACACAGACACTGGATGTAGATACCTGACACATGCACTGACGCAGACACTGGGCACAGACACTGCACACAGACACTGGATGTAGATACCTGACACATGCACTGACACAGACCCTGGGCACAGACACTGCACACAGACACTGGATGTAGATACCTGACACACGCACTGACGCAGACCCTGGGCACAGACACTGCACACAGACACTGGATGTAGATACCTGACAAAGACACTGACACAGACCCTGGGCACAGACCCTGGACGCAGACCCTGGACGCAGACACTAGATGTAGATACCTGACACATCTACTGACATCGACACTGTGCACAGACACTGGACACAGACGCTGGACACATCCACTGACACAGACCCTGGGCACAGACTCTGGGCACAGACACTGGACGCAGACACTAGATGTAGATACCTGACACATCTACTGACATCGACACTGTGCACAGACACTGGACACAGACGCTGGACACATCCACTGACACATCCACTGACACAGACACTGGGCACAGACACTGAGCACCTGACACTGGATGTAGATACCTGACACATGCACTGACGCAGATCCTGGGCACAGACACTGGACATCGACACTGGATGTAGATACCTGACACATGCACTGACGCAGATCCTGGGCACAGACACTGCACACAGACACTGGATGTAGATACCTGACACATGCACTGACGCAGACACTGGGCACAGACACTGGACATAGACACTGGATGTAGATACCTGACACACGCACTGACGCAGACCCGGGGCACAGACACTGCACACAGACACTGGATGTAGATACCTGACACATCCACTGACATCGACACTGGGCACAGACACTCGACACAGACGCTGGACACAGACACTGCACACAGACACTGGATGTAGTACCTGACACATCCACTGACACAGACCCTGGGCACAGACACTGGACACAGACGCTGGACACAGACACTGCACACAGACACTGGATGTAGATACCTGACAAAGACACTGACACAGACCCTGGGCACAGACCCTGGACGCAGACCCTGGACGCAGACACTAGATGTAGATACCTGACACATCTACTGACATCGACACTGTGCACAGATACTGGACACAGACGCTGGACACATCCACTGACACAGACCCTGGGCACAGACTCTGGGCACAGACTCTGGACGCAGACACTAGATGTAGATACCTGACACATCTACTGACATCGACACTGTGCACAGACACTGGACACAGACGCTGGACACATCCACTGACACATCCACTGACACAGACACTGGGCACAGACACTGAGCACAGACACTGGGCACAGGCACTGGGCACAGACACTGAACACAGACACTGGGCACAGACACTGCACACAGACACTGCACACAGACACTGGATTATATACCTGACAAATGCACTGACACATCCACTGACTCAGACCCTGGGCACAGACACTGGGCACAGACACTGAACACAGACACTGGGTACAGACACTGGGCACAGACACTGGGCACAGACACTGAACACAGACACTGGGCACAGACACTGAACACAGACACTGAACACAGACACTGCACACAGACACTGGATTATATACCTGACAAATGCACTGACACATCCACTGACACAGACCCTGGGCACAGACCCTGGGCACAGACACTGGACACAGACACTGGGCACATACACTGGACACAGACGCTGGACACAGAGATGCCGGACACCGACACCGACACTGACAATGGACATAGATACTGGAGACAGACACAGAAGACAGATACCAGAAATGAGGCAGCGGACAGAGGCTTCAGGACACAGACATTGCACACGGACACTAGAAACAGACAGTCGACACTTACTCTGGAAGAAGACACCCTGACACAGAGAACACGACTTGTACCTCTTTGCTCGTGTACCAGAATACATCTTCGGAACAGATCTCGTGTACAATGTGTTTGGAGGTTGAAGATTTCGTAGGGAATGAAATGCGAAGTTTAATGTTAAAAATAGGTGTTGTGTATGTTTGAATATATCTCTGCTTCATTTCCCGCAACGTATATTTATTGTGTCTGTCATCAGAACATTATCTTGTACTTGTTTTGACCAGCTACAGAAAACGATTTTTATGACCAGGGTGCCGTTGTACAAAGAGATCTTAGGGCCAAGGTTACCGTAAAACCCATACCTTAACACAGACTTACGACCGTCGTAGCCCTAAGTTTGTATATTGTACAACGGTACCCATTTCTGTGAACTGCGAACTCCTCCTTCCCCGAGGAACAAGATACGACATGTAGTATCGGCTTCTTCTCAGCCAGATTTAACAAAAAAATAATTGATAATATGCCGTAGACACTCAATGTTTTAGCAGGTACCCAAACTCAAATATTCCGCAATCA